TACGGCGAACACAACTGCTAAACCTTTGCGATCCGGCTGGCTGTAACCCATCTCTGCCTTCGTGAGCGCACGTGCCGCATGCTGAACCAACTTCACCGACCCGTCGGGGAACCTGTGGCTGATTGTTGCACCAACGCTTATCGATGAAGCATCCGCCGATACAATGATCTCTCCTCGCGGATCGTAGTGAGTTAGCAGAAGATCGGAACCAAGTAGCTCTTTGAACCGATCGAAGGCACGCTGACACTCGGTTGTCCACCGGAATTCTCCATTTCCTTTCAGCAACTCATCAAGTGGAAACCGCAGTGTACGCATATTCGGCACGTACTTCCCATAATAGTTTATGGCGCCCAAGAAAGAGCGAACTCCACTGACATCCTTAGGCGCTGGCGACTTCTGAATAACTACGATCTTTGCTGGATCCGGTCGCAGCCCGTGACGATCCAGCAAATGTCCCAAATAGCGAATTTGGCTTTCTCCAAAGGAACGAATGATGAACCCGAACTCTTGGATTCTTTGCAGCACCGCCTGAAGAGTCTTCTTGTGGTTCTCTTCGTCGATACCACCGACAACGATGTCATCCAGGTAGTCGCTCACTCCTTTCAGGCCAACCAGCATCGTGTCGATCAACTGCTGGAACGCTCCCGGCGCTGCCTTCACCCCTGGTGGGAGACGATTATAGCGGTACAGTCCTCGATGCGTGTTTATGGTCAGGAGGTCACGAGAATTTTCGTCCACCTCCACTTGCAAAAACGCATCCGTCAAATCTATTTGGCTGAAGACGGTGCAGTTTGCTAGGTTAGCGAAAATGTCCTGCGGAAGAGGCAAAGGGTACTGCAGAGCGTCATTCAGTCCAGTTGAATAATCCCCACAGATACGGATCGTACCATTCGCCTTACGAACCACCACAATCGGAGCTGCCCACTCCGAGAAGTCTATCGGTTCGATAATTTTCTTTCGCTCCAATCGGTCCAGTTCATCGTCCACCGTCTGGTACATGGCATACGCTACTGGACGAAACACAGGGGTCATTCCGGCCTTGAACTGGAACTTCACCTTCGTTTTCTTACATAGCCCAAGATCGACAGAAAACACATTCGGGTACTCTGCCTTTAACACGCTTACACTGGCCGGAGTGCTGCTGATTTGGTTGCAAATTGAGTCGAAAGGAACCGACCACAATCCGAAAGCATCGATTGTGTCAGAACCCAGCAGGTGTAACTGTTCCTTGGTGACCCGAATCAAGCCACGCAACACTCGCCGATCAATGGAAACATAACAAGAAAACTCACCTTCAATCTGCAATGGCCTACCACTGGCTGTCTTTGCGATGATCGTCGACGCCAAGTCCCCGGCAAGGTGACAGATAATCTTAGTTTCACGTACCCACTTGCAAATAGTAGATGTCGCCACACATCGTAAACAAAGGGACTGCCCTTCACCGCCGCAATGGTATTTCTCTATGGGAAGGCAACTTTTTGTTTCGCCATGTGTGGATGTCAAACAACAAGCAAGAATGCCATGTGAAAAGAGCGATTTATGATTTTCGTGGTGAAATGAAATAAATCCAAACAAATTGGAACAGATTGATGGAAGTTTTTCTTATATAATCAAATAGAAATAAAAACACATTGGTTAATTCTATTATATTTTGCTCTTGAATATTATCAGTCTTGAGAATAATGTTTCTGAGCATACTTGTGCGGTGAAGACTTGCAATAAAAAGCCGTATCAATAAAAAGAGTTTACTTCCCCATCTTTCTATTGAGGGTGAAAAAAAAAATACAAAATTGATTCTTATTCGCGGTGAGTAGCAGGTTTGCTTTGTGAACACTAACATTTCGTATATCCATTTAAACATGAAGAAATAAATAAAATAAATTAAAATAAGCGTCTCTCAACAAAAGATATTTATAATGAGCTTCTAAAACGAATAAATTTCAGTGATTGTCTTTTGTTACACCCGTCCGTTGCATTAACATTAACACCAACTTGAAGTTTCAAGAAACAGATGAGGCTATCTGTTTTTATGTTCAGTATATTATTTACTGTACATCATATCTGCATTCGCCCTATTCAGATAACACTTCTGAAATTTGTGAGTTTGACAGAACCACCAGCATCAAATTTTCGGGGTACACTGGAAATGTACTGGACTTGTCAAGTTGCCCCCGGGTTGGTCGACGCAGACGTTGAAGGGCTGCCAATCTTGCACCAGGTATCCGACGAAATTATCGTGATGTCAGACCCCGTATCGATTTGCATACGCACCGGTAATCCATTGATTCCAGCCGGCACGTACTTTCGACGCTCCTGCACACTGCACGAATTCACAGTCACTACCTTGGCCGCTGCAACGTTGGGCTTCCGTCGCCTGAATTTTACCTTCGCTGCACTCCGACAGTAGCCATCCTTATTGCCTACCTGACTGCAATCGCTGCACTTATGGCTTTTGTACGTGCACTCCCTGGCGTAATGCATGTCACCGCATAGCCAACAAGCTGTTTCCGGACTAGTCTTTCCGCTGCTCGCTCTTCAACTACCCTTCTCACTGCCGGACTGGTTGAATTTCGACGGTGAGGTTCCCTTGAAACGCTACTGCTTCGTCTTCAAGGCTTTCACAGACATTGAGTTCTCCTCAATCGTCGCAGTATCGTGCCGCAAGTTCAACAAACGTTGACACTCTTCCGACAGCTGTTCCAGCGTAACATCATTCCGCTCCTCAATCGTCGACAACAGCCGTATCCGCACATCTGCATCTTTGTCCGACTTCAAGCCACACACGAATACGAGGCACTTGAACTGCTCCTCCGATAGCTTGGACAGCTCGAACTCGACGCACGATTTGTTAATGTGGCATGCATACGTCACATAGTCCTCCTGTGGCTGCTTGACGATTTGCAGACAACGATACCTCCGGCTAATCACAGATTCGGCAGCACCGAACAAGCTGGTCAACTTTTTTACCGTCACCGCAAAGTCAAAATCTTTCGGTGCCTTTGGCAGAATAAAGCTGATATACCTTTCGTGCTCCGACATTCCCAGCTGTCGCATCAGCAAGCGCACTTTTGCATCTCCGTCGAGTCGGCTGGCATCCTTCGCGAACAAGTCCTCATATCGACTATACCACGCAGCGAACGTAACATTGCTGTCGCGATCGTATCTGAACTCCTTGATATTGTTCGCCTAGGAATCTAAAACAGCTTCCGAATTTGCTGGGACCTGCACCTGGATCGATGTCATTATACTGCGAATCAGCTGCTCCTGTTGGGCCATAAACGCTTGCTGTTGTTGCTTCATAACCTCCTGCTGCTACCGAAAAAGGTCCGTGACATAACCCTGCTGCTGCTGCTGCTGAAACCATAGCAGGTACGGGTCCACTTGTCCGGCTGGAGGCGGATTTCTAAACTGTTGCTGCTGCGGAATCGGTCGCACATTCCCGGTAGGCAACTGCTGTCCATTTCCCGGCTGAATCGGACACGGATTCCCATCGAACGAGTTGTCATCCATTCTTCTTCGTTTCACTGTGGGTAACGTAGTGATGGGATATTTTCACCACTTTTCACAACTTTCCCACTCCCGAAGTCGCCACTTTTGTATCCCGCGCCCGTACGTGGTGGCCGAACTCGCGATACGCGAACATTGGACGCGAATATAAATTAAAACTAATTAAAACTCGGAATGAAAATAAAACACGTTGTTACGATGACGAACTAAACACACTTCTATTTACATACATGATGACAACATATCTCTCCCTTTTTATGGCACAGACCAACAATATTAAACAACATATCTCATTCACTCTTTATGCGCTTTGTTGACATCTGAAGGATGACGGATAAAACAGTCACCCGCGAGTCCAGCGGCGGCGGAGCAAGGGGGGGAGGTGGCTGTCAAATACGAACAATACCTCGCATAACTGGTTCCAAACGTAAACAAGCCATAAGAAACCTACAGCGTTTGTTTACGTTTGGAACCAGTTTCATACAAGATGATCAGTAGGCTGATTTGACAGCACGTCCCCCCGCAGCGGCGGAGTGGATAGGGGTACTCCGTTTTCCAGTTGTCCCAAACAAGAAATATTCAATGTGTTATGTTTGTTTACCCTTAACATTTTTCCAAGACCACACAATTTTGCAGCGATTGTATTTTTCCAATCTGGAATCTTGGAAAATTTTCTAAATCAGATCTAGAATTTTATATATATATAAATTAAAGATACACTTTTTTAAATATTTGAGATTTTAAAATATTTTAGGAATTTTTAGTCCAAATTCATTGAAAAAACCGGATATAATTTTCGCAGAAAAACTTTACTTTTCTCTACAACTTTGTCTCAGACGCCATTTCGAGATGAAGTGACGTTTTTGTGCTAATTCATTTTTTTTTCAAAAATTGCAGACGCCATTTTGAAAAAAAATTACAATTTGTACTATGGGACGGACTTGTCACGAGCGGCCGTAACGTCTCTATAAACAAACATAATATGCTAAGGTAGATTACACCTTGTATTGTAAACAATTTGTTCCGGGATTCTTTTTTAAATATCTTTTGAAATGAAAATGCACACTGCTCCTCCTCGATACTAACCCCAAGTTGTAACCGTTGCTGTCTGCTGGAAAATGAAACCCATTTCATGTATATCATAATTAGCTCATTGTAGATTATGGCTCTAATGAACCCATCACAGAGACTAAACTACCGAATCTAATCAAGTTGAAGTTTCCCTTTCAAACTTATCGCTTCGGCGAGGCATCCATGCGCAGCAAATTTCCTACCACCCAATGATCCAAACCCATGCTGTATAGGCACAATTCATTAGAGCTACATAATGCAACCGACCGCGTCGCATCGCCTCGTTCGGATCATCGCGGTTCGCCCGCGAGCAATGAGTAAAATTAATGACCTGGTCACACTTCCTCCGCGGCATGTGGACAAACGACGGCAATATTTTTTCTAATAATTTATTTCTATTTTTCCCCATCTTCCATTTGCAGACTCGGTGTGGCCAATCGAACCAAGTGCGAGGAAGCGCTGCTAAAAACCGGCTGGAGTGTGCAGCTGGCCGCGTCCATACTGCTGGAGACTTAATCACTTCCGCCTGCCGACCGACGCGACGACGGGTTTTACTTTGGCTTTCATTTTTTTTAGGTAAGAACATTAAGTTTTATACAACGAACACTTCATTATCAACCGCGAAGTCGCAGTTAGTAGCTCTGCTTCACCCACACATCTGTTGAGTATTACAGCACTGTTTACTACCAAGCAATGTAGATATTTATTGATAGTGTATTCAAAGGATTCGAAGGGTGCTAAAGCTGACTCCTTCAAATTATCAATGTACAAATAATTCTAATCTCTAATCGCGAAGCAATCTTCCGAATGCAACGCACCAATTCTCAACTACATACATAATGAATCAATATTAGAAGTAGCATATCATTTCCCCCTCCCAGTGGAAACCGATCTAGGGAATCTCCAGAACGAACTCGAACGAAGCAATTCACATGCTCTCTCTTTTTTATCAGTTGTATATTTTAGTAAGAACTCACATAACGAGTGTATTAGATGAAAAGCTAACGCGCCGCCCCACGAACGGTATTCAGGTGTTTACTACCCACAGCATTAAACGAAACTACTTCACATCATACCGCTTGAGAGGTTCCGAAATGTAATGAACAGTCAAAAGGGAGATAACGATTTGGGAGAGCTTTTTTGTCTTTGTTTGCTACGCGATTAAATGGAAATTAGATAACTCTGCCAATGTTGATGGACGGTGGAGGAAATAGTTGCGGTACCGACCTACCCATAACTAAACAGTTAGAATAGAGCCAGATAATTAAAACCGAAAGGCATGCTTTGCTCCCACTCAAAATTGGTACCCACTCGGTATAGGCTCTGTTGTTAGATTCAAGCGAAGAAGCATCAGAACGATCTGATATGCCAATGAAGTGATCATAATCTACTTGAAACGGTTGATTAGCGGAATGGAGGATTGGGGTAACTTGAAAATAGTCTATTTACATGTTATGAGAATGCTCTATGGGAAATATATATATATATATATTTTATAACTGAGAGCTCGTTGCCGCTAAGTTTTCTGCTAAAACGGTATCCGAAATTCCGATCTTCTAGCGTTTAGGAAAGAAAGCGTTTTTCTAGAGTTTTTCCACATTTAAATAGTGGCCTAATTAGATTAACATATAGTTTTAAAGCTGCAAAGGCGCAGCCAGATTACTTTTATGAAAGGAGGCTCCAAATCTTGAATACACTGTGGCCATATTTTTTTTTGTACCTTCTATATCTTGTTTTTTTTTTCTAAGCGCCAGTATTTTAGAAATTTCACAATCATTTTTTTTTAACTTCTATATAAATATATGTATTTTTCATAGTTTGGCATCTGGCATATTTATTTTATTTTGTTTTATCTTGAAAACTTCTCAAGCATAAGTATCTTGAAAATTTCTCCATGTCCATGTCTGATATCTTTTATATTTGTTAAATCCAGCACCGTAGAATGGGGTATCTTTGATAATGCGGGTAACTTTGATAGTAGAATATGATGATTTTATTTACTCTCTGCATTTTTTCCGAATAAGAAACATTGGTTCCATATTGTAGCTTAGGGCATGTCCCTTGATATCGCATATACTTTTTATATAGTTTGTGTTAAATGTTTACCAAGTATATTGAAAAAAAAATCTTTCTTTTTGCCTGTTTGAAAAAGCACTCAAATCATCACTTATGAAATGTATTTCTGATAAAGCCATCACAAATTTAGTGTTGTCTTATTATTGCTTATGATGTTTCTGATTATAAATTCATACAAATTGTCATATTTCTTGAACTAAATTGTTTGAGATTCACACGTGTTTTTCTACATTCAGCGAGCATTATCAAAGTAAAAAATAGTGCAAATGCAATAATTTTCGTTATACATATTAACGAATTAGTTCTAGGATCCTCAGTACTTGTTTAAAAAAACATTTGAGAAACATTAATTGATGTAAACAATATTTAGAATATACTTAAAAAAAAACTATCAATGTTACCCCGTTTTAAGGTACAGCTAATAAATTATAATGTCACAGCATCTTATTTCTAAGTTCGAGTTTCTTGAAAACTTTATCATCCATGAGATTTTAGATAGTTATCTTAGTCACAGAATCTTGAGTTTTTTTTTCTCGATAGACACAGTTTTATGACGTTACAGTGGTTTTGATAAATATTTTTTTTCAGTTACCGGAACTGTAAAAAAAGTAACCACTAATAACTGTTCAATTTATAAAACGGACACATTAATTTGACGATATCTTTTATATTTATCATCCAATTTAAACACGGTTTTATGCATAACAGATTCTTATTACTCCACAACAATTATAAAATAAAAAAAATCCACGAAATGCTTTTAATGATAAAACTGACGCACTTTTCCACACCTCCACACCTCTCATAAGCTTCTTTACAGTTTTCTGTGTGACCTTTCGGCTAGCAGATGACCACATTTTCTTGAACTCGTTGACAGATTGTGCTTCTCTACCATCCTGCCGAAGGTTGCGCTTGATGATTACCCAGTAACGCTCAACCGGACGCAGTTCTGGACAGTTTGGTGGATTATCCTCTTTCTCGACGAAGTTGATCTTATACGACTTCATCAGTTTGAGCGTAGCAGAAGCGTAGTGGGCGGATGCAAGGTCAGGCCAGAACAGTTGAGGGATCCTGTGCTGACGATACAGAGCAACAACTCGTTTTTGAATGCATTCTTTGCCATAATGTTCACCGTTAATGGTTCCTGTGGTAAAATACGGCAAACTTTTTTTTACCACATGAACAAATTGCTTTCCATACAAGCTCTTTTTTGCCAAACTTGTCAATTTTAATGGATTTCTTCTCATGAGGTACCTCCTCTCCAACAATTGCATTAAAAAATTGTGACCCGGGTAGTGTGGTTGTGTCCAGCTTGCAATATGTCTCTTTATCCATTAATATGCACCGTTTGATTTACTTCCTCAAAATTGTATCAAGCTTCCGGCATAGCTCTTTAGCTCGTTTGTGCTACTCCGCGCTCCGTTTAGGCGCTTTCTGCTTCCTATAAGCCTTGATATTCTTCTTTCTTTTTATGTTTTCGACGGTTCCGACAGATATTCCCAGTTTTTTTGGCAATCTTACGTACAGAGTTAGATTATTCAGACAACAAAAGCTCAACACAACACATAGGTTTGCAGCACCGCTTCTGGTTCTAGATCTTGGTAAATCTTCAACGGTTTGGTGCTCTCCAAACTTTCTGATGATTTGATGTACAGCAGACTTCGATCTTTTCACAATTTTCGCAATATCTCTACAAGATAGTCGCTCTGCGCAGTATTTTTGAATAATGAAAACTCGGGTTGCTTCATCAATTCGTCCCATCATGGACTCCCATGTTCCGAAATCAAACTGTTTTGACAAAAACAAAAAACTTTTGTACACGGTGAAAATAAATTCATCAAATTGGGGTAAGACGTTAGCTTTCTATCGTCACATATAGATGTCCGTTTTATAAAATGAACAGTTTTTAAATATGATTGCAGATTTGGAAAGTTCGGTTAGGAGAATGTGGGTCCCCGCAAAATTCAACTAATGGAATATATTTTACAAAAATCTCCTACTGGCTTACTGCTAGAAGCTTACTGGAACTTTTCATTTAATTTTAGTCTAAAAATATACTATTGTCTAGTGCAAATACACATCCCAAATTCTGTCCGACGCCATCAACGAGCGTCTATGTCTCGCGGCAATCAGAAAAGGACTGCCTTTGCGTCCATCAGTTTTTTTTTTTTTTTTTTTTTTTTTTTATATTAATTTATTTGTACAGGCTCAATCGAATAAACTTTACAGAGCCGAGTTATCATTTGCATTATACATGATTAATGTCTTAAATCTAGAGTTAAAGGAATTGAACCGATTACTCGCGGTCGTCTCGAGGTTAGTGGAGATTTACAATTTTTTGGATGGGGAAAGGGAGAAGAAGGTTTGAAATATGATTTATTATACAAATATTTAATTAATCCTAAAACATGAACTTATTTCTATTCATCTTGAAAACAAACATTAAAAAAAAACTACACGCACAATACACAAACTAAACACAAACTAAACACAAGGTTAATCAAACTTACAATCTAAGGTTTGTATTCTTAAAGTAAACATATATGAGTTTCATAAACTCCAGATCACGTCTAGCCAAAATATCCCGAACTGGAATATTAGGTTGTCTACCTCGAGCCCGAAGGGAATCGCACAGCTCAGATCTGACTCCACGATGCTCAGCACAAGACCAAAGGATGTGATCGGCGTCTTGGTAACCTTGCCCACATTCACAGAGATTGCTGTCTCCCAGCCCAACACGAAACAAGTGAGCGTTTAACGAATAGTGATTGGACATGAGGCGAGACATCAGACGAATGAAGTCTCGACCCACATCCAACCCCTTGAACCAAGGACTCTTCGACACCTTAGGGATGATCGAGAATAGCCATCGTCCCAAACTTCCTTCACTCCATTTACTTTGCCAGCTGGCGAGCGACTGTTGACGATAAATGAAGAAAAATTCATTGTAGGCGATTTGTCGATCGTAAATATCGCCTTGCATAGCGCCCACCTTAGCAAGTGAGTCCGCCTTCTCATTGCCCGGAATCGAGCAATGCGATGGGACCCATGCAAAGGTGATGACAAAAGATCTTAAAGATAAAGCACTCAGAAGCTCTCGTATTTTCATGAGAAAATACGAGGAGTGCTTTACCGGCCTCATGGATCGAATAGCCTCGACAGAACTGAGACTATCCGTAAAAATAAAATAGTGATCTGGTGCAAGTGAGGCGATCGTTTCTAGCGTATAGTGTATTGCCGCCAGTTCAGCAACATATACGGAACAAGGAGCTTGAAGCATTCGAGAGGCGCTATGAAATTCGTTAAAAATACCAAAACCAGCGGACGACTTTATTAGTGATCCATCTGTGAAGAACGATCTTCCGGAATCAACTTGGCCAAACTTTGCAGCGTAAATTGACGGAACAATCATGGAACGATGATGTTCTGGGATTCCACGAATCTCCCGCGTCATAGATAAATCAAAACTAACTGAATTGCCGAAGTCGGAGAAGCATACACGATGGGGATTATGCTGTGAAGGGCTGAGTTATGTACATGTAGTACAATGACATAAAACGAGTTTGAGGGTTTAGCTCAAGAAGCTTCTCAAAGTTTTCGATTACCAGTGGGTTCATAACTTCACAACGGGTGAGGAGCCTGAGGGACAATTCCGAAAACCGATCCGATAGTGGCAACATGCCCGCCAACACTTCGAGACTCATCGTATGAGTCGAGTGCATGCATCCTAACGCGATACGAAGACAACGATACTGGATACGTTCCAGTTTGATGATGTGAGTTTTAGCCGCCGACTGGAAGCAAAAACTACCGTACTCTAAAACCGATAAAATCGTTGTCCGGTACAACGTTGGAAGATCTTGCAGATTAGCTCCCCACCACGTTCCGGTAATTGTTCGGAGAAAATTGATCCTTTGTTGGCATTTTCGTCTCAGATACTCAATGTGGGATCTCCAGGTGCATTTGGAATCGAACCAGACCCCAAGATATTTGAAAAACATGGAATGAGTGATCGGCTTACCCAAAAGTTGAAGCTTCGGTTGTGCTGGGCTATGCTTCCTAGAAAAAACGACCAACTCAGTTTTCTCCGTGGAGAATTCGATACCTAGCTGGATAGCCCAAGTAGACAAATTGTCTAAGGTATCCTGTAAGGGTCCTTGCAGGTTGACCCCTTTGGGCCCTGTCATAGACACTACGCCATCATCTGCAAGTTGTCTCAACGTGCAGTTGTCACTTAGACAATTGTCAATTTCTCTGACATAGAAATTGTACAAAAGGGGGCTTAAACATGAGCCCTGGGGGAGACCCATGTAACTAAATCGAGAAGTTGTGGAGAATGCGTCCATCAGTTGATGGCTATCAACTTCGCAGAACGACGACGACAAAGCGATGGCTGATGCCAGATG